TGGACCTCAGAGAATACACACTGTCATTTACTCTTCAATCAAAGTCATGGGAAAACAAGTTTCACTGGTTCCCCTGATCACTGAAGTATTTACTGTCAGTACAAGAGGGACACCGGGCCTACATACATATACAATGTCAGGATACTGAGTGCAGTAGAGATATGACTGTCTGCTTAGAGACATATATATTCCAGGCAAATACACTTTGGATTGTGCACCAGAACTGATGCACAACTCAGCAAAGCCAGCACGACCCAATGCATGCCATAGGAATGGGTGAAAAATGAACAGGTTTGCCAATGAAAAAATTTGTACATTTTTAAATCTTCTTACTTCAAAATGAGCCATAGAATAGGTCATATAACACATAATGGCAAAATTAATATATTATGAATGAATTATCACCAAGGAAATGTGCAGATGCTTATTGGTGACATGAGTTATATAACATGCAATTTTCACACAATACGTTGTTAATAATGGATAAGGACTTAACAGTATATTCTTATATAAAGAAAGAACAATATTAAAACTTGTTCTTTCACTGGAATCAAATAACTTACTGTGCATTGAGTTGCTTATGAAATTGAGCTACTCTTGCCATTACTACTAATTACATTTTAATGTCAAATTTTTAAAGTAGATATACATCAATTCACTCAGTAACTCATCACAGATCAGATCCACCTTACTGTTGTACCACTAAGCCAAAATAAATGCTTTTTTCTGTTCCTACCTACACTAAATGAAGAGAAAAAAAGAAGGAAGCAGTATCTTGTCCTAGTTTGTAGCATGCACCTGTAGGAAAACTATTAAAATTGGCCCTGCCTGTGAGGTTTGTTTCACATGTAGATGGGAGAGCTTGCTCCTACTTAACTAGGGAACTTTCAAAATAGAAGTTCAAGTCCTGAACTTCAAGTCCTATGGTCAAGTCTTCTGAATTGCTTGGCTGATGAGTGATGTAAAATAGCAAGACAAAACAAGTGTGGGACAAGAGGCTAGGAACTCAAAAGTTGTTTTCAACAATACTCAGAGCCCACTCCCCTCCAGATGCCTTCGTGGATCAAGCTGGAGCAATTCAAGAATAGACAGCCCTCTTCCCCAACACTGTTTGTTGCTACCAACAAATGGGTCTTCCTTCCGCAAATAAATAATTTTAATATATCATGCCAGAATGCCTCAGCTGCCTCAGTTTGAAGTCATCTGGACCAGCTTATGCTACTACTGAAGATGATCTAAACATGGCAGGATTTGCAGTCACACTGATGAAGAGTGCTTACATTATCCATTCTGGTACTTGAGCTCTAAGGTCTGACAAGTCCTTCCTCAGGAAAGATAATGAACAATCATTGTAATTGGTTGACTTGAAATTTCTAAAGAGTTCCTGCTGTAGAGCCATCAAAGGCAAACTAATCCATAAGAAACTACAGGGACGTACAACTCTCTGACTGCCTAGCATGCAAAACACCTGAAAAATTCACTTTATGCTGATTAGAAAATCAACATACGTAGGAAACAAACTGAGTTTCAAGAAAGCCTGATGCAGCTTAGACAACAGCAATACATTTTCCTATTCTATCTAGGGAAAACAGAATTTGTATTTGTGCCAAACAGTGCAGGAGAGTTTTTGGATCTTGCCACTTCCATTTAATTTAGAAAGCAAATATCTTCACACTTAACTGAAAGACCATTGATCAAGAGAGGTTCATAAAACAGCAACTAGGTAAAAGGAAAGCCCAATGGTAAATGACCACGTTAGATAGATAGATATTAGTGCATGAATTGCATTCATTATTGTCTTTATTGTTACCATAAAGAAAAGGAACTTGGAAAATCCATCTGTTCCCACAGATGGAAGCACCCTGACATGAGGCCCCAGAGAGTCAGGAAGCCACATTCAGCCCTCAGTGAAAAGAGAGAATCGCTGTCCCTGACCTGCCAGAGCACTAACAGGAGCCCAGGTCCTCTTAGAGGTCTTCTCCATTGGCATCCTCCTTTTATTACCTCTGACTTCCAAAGAATTTGGCCCAGATTTGCAAATACCAAAATTTTGGTATACCCAAAACTTCATTTCCCTGACAAGAATATTTATTATTTAAAAAAAAAATAGAAGTCACCTACTCTAAGAAGAGGGCAAATACAAAGGCACTCTGAGGACAGATGATGCTTTCTTATTTCCTACATACATTTGTTTATGTACGCATATACAACTACTTTCATGAACCATTATCTTCTCCCTCCCCATCTACCACATCCCACTCTAAAACATCGTGTAGAACAGTCTCAGAGAATTCAAAGGGGAAGCATTGCCCATTGAGACTATGCAGAACTGTGCTTATTCTCACCATACGTCACTTTTTCTAGCAGTTTTCTAAAGGAAGCACGACATCTTTGAACCCAACCTTTTCTGCTGTCAGCCAGGGCCAGAAGGATTACACATAGCAAAGAAACAAAGAGGAAATGAATGTAAATAGTGTGTACAACAACAAGAGAAAGCAGCACACAAAAGCTAGTGATGATTAAAATGCATTCTTTTCTCACAGGGGCTCCTAATTAGGTTGCTAATACTGTTCTCAACTATTTTAACAATTTAATGGTCTCCTGTCACATAAAAAATGAGCAGAATCTTTCACACCCTCTCCACCTGGGAAAGTTCACCTGAGAGAAATTCCCTCTTCACTTCCAGCTCTGTCAATGGGATTTCCCTCTCCCTGGGAAGGGAGACACTTCCCCACACACACTATGTCAGGCAGATTCACCTCAGGTACCAGTAGCAAGCTATCTGGGTAGACACTGCCCACCTCCCCAGCTCTCCCCACATAGCTGTGCTTTCTAGATCTTACCTCTACATCTGGCTCCCAGGTCAGCACCCTTATCTGGTTGACCCCTTAGTCTGACCCCCACCGGACGATAGGCTAGCATGACAAACCAATCTTTTGGTGTCCAAAATTATAGCAGTCCTTATCTCAGGGATGGGATTAATCCTGATCCCTGAATTCATCCTCCATGGTTCAGAGAGCTCATGGAAGAGCACCTCGCTGATGCACCTCTCTGACCCATTTACCTAGAACAAACATGGGGAATGATGGCGAATGGGCTGGCATTGAAGCTGGGCTAAAAAGTATTTCACAGGAATTACCAGGCAAGATCATACACATTGCCTGTCTAGTCCACTGTTTGCTGCTCTCTCACAGCAACGTGCCAGAGGGTTCACCAGAAAGTATGAGAGTCTGGTAGTAGGCATTGTGCAACATCTCCCTAGAACCCTCATGTCATCCTCTTCTCAAGAAAGTTCAAATTCCCTCTAAAATTGCTCACCTTTGTCATCTTCAGGGAGACACCCCCAACACACTGTCTTCCTACCCTAGATGATCTCCAGTAACTACGGGAGCTGGGGGTGACAGGAACCATGTATCTATGAGAAATGGAGACAAGATGGTCCAAGCTTGGAGAACAGGGGCTTGCTGCTCCTTGTGCTATTGAATAAGGACCAAAGTGTGGGAGAGGGAAAGAAGAATTTGTTATTTCTCCTAAGGAGATCATTCATTAGAATTTATTTTTCTTCTTTTTTCACTTTAAGTGGCTCTAATAAGCAATTTAGGTGAGAGGTTTAGTGTTTCCTCATCTTGGTCAAGTTAGAGTAGCAGTCTTGTCAGAGCAGTTTCCAAGACACAACCTCTGGTTCTCATGAGTCCGAAAGGAGGTTTGAGTATCTTGTTAGCTCTAATACAAAGCCACTTAAGGCCTTCAGGATCTCAGTTTCAGAGAACCTAAGGCAGAAATTACTCCATGCATGCCACACAGCTTTAAACCCATAAAACCAGCCAATTCAATTCTAAAATGAGGTTACTTGCAAATCCTTCAACCTCACAGCACAGTAAACACAGTAACATACTGTCAGCAGATAAACAGTTCATATTATCCATGCTGCCCACAGCATAAAACATGTTCTTTCAGGACAACTTTGCCAATGGTGTGATGGAATGGACATTTTACAACCCCAGTGTTGAACTGCAAAATAACTTGTCTAGAGTCCAGTTTTCCAGTGTATTTACCATGAGCAATAATGAGAAAATTCGATGCAGCTCATTTTAAGTATTAAATGTATGTGATCCAGGCAATCATTTCAAGTATTTTGGAGTAATTAATGGAAGAACAACACAATATGCTTTCTTTATGGCAGCCTGGCTCACCAGCCTATCTACCAACCAATTCAATGTGCACTTTAAGGGCACATTTAGTGTGCAGTCTGAACACCCTTCTGGGACAGAACACACACGGGCAGTCCAGTGCTTTCACCACATGCAGCAAAGTGGCAGATGCCTTTTTAAAAACAGCTGTTGGAAATTTGGCCTTAAGAATACAGATGTTACATCTAACCTTTGAAATTTTTAAAAACTTAACTGATGGGCAGGGTTTTAAAAGCATGTTCCTAATTCAGTCTGAATGCAAATTAACATGTTCAATTTAGAGCATAGATACTATGTACGTCAACAGATCTCATTGATGCATAACATCTCTTATGACCTGATCAACAACTTCAACAGACAGCACTTGATTTCAATGGGCCAAATGTCCCTAATTGTACGTAACTATAAACAAGCATTATATGGTCCAAAAGCATCATTTAAGCAGAAGAATACATATATGGAGAAAGCTTCCTTTCATAGTCCTTCTGAGGACACTAATACAAAAGAAAGAAACAAGGTGTTTGGAACATTGTGGCTGTTGTAAGTCTGTACTGTTATGGCTCTCAAATTTAGCTAATTAGGACGTATTCCACCAGAAGAAAATATTTGTAAAGTCAGTATGTCCCTAACAAGAAGCTATGTTGGTTAAAAACGTTCACAAAAGAAATTCCCAACATTCTTCAAATATATTCAAATTACTTCCCTAATTAATATTAAGAATTGAAGCTTTTGAGACTGATGTCATAGGGAACAAAATCTTTTTGTTTTCTGATCATATAAAATGTTGGCAGTTTTCTTTTCTGTACAGATTCTGAGCTCTCTAAGTAAGCTTAATTTGAGAAAAATGAAAGTCATTTCAACAAAGAAGTTTATTCTATTTGCTTTAGCTACAGTGGTCTTTCTAACATCGAATAGCATTTGCCTAGATGAACTGATGAAGTCCAGTCTGCAGAGCAGAGAAAACGATGATGATAAATATTACAAGGTAAGATCTGTATTACTATGACATTATTTAGGGGAACTGTGGGTCAGATCCTGAGCACTTTGAATTTTTTGGCAAAGGCTCTCATAACCTCATTGCACAGTATTCATTATTACAGCACCAGCAGTATGAGAAAAGCTCGTTGAAAGAATTTTCAGGAAATTCATTTGCTCAGACACACATACTGTGTAAATCAATTCATGTTTCAATTTTCTTGCAATACAGCCTTGTGATTAGGTTGAGACTTTTTCTGAAATGTTTCTTTCTTACACAGTGGGGCCTCAATTAACATTCCTGTTGACATTTTATGAACATAATATAACAGATACATTATTAATCCAAAATTAATAAAGAGATGCGTGTAATACCCAAAGAATAATGATAAACAGGAAAAAATTTAAATCTAATATAGTTAACGGTCTTAAAATTCTACTCTGGAAATTGACTATAAAAATATCTTTGCAGGGTTGCACATTTATTATGTCTCAATAGATGCCAAATGAAATTTGCACTGTTCATCTGTATTATTTTTCTTGCCTGCCCTGCAAATACACCCTGGGAAATGAGAGCCAAGCTCTCTTTTTGACCCATCATCATTGGTGTAATAAAGATCCTTCAAACCAAAATACAACTTTAATTATGCTAGTGAAATCCTCTGGTCTTCATCTCATTGTCTTTGATATACTTCAGAAGGAGTGTGCAAGTACAGTCTGAGGGATAGTTTATTTAATGTTTTAATTATGAAGTATGGACTAGAATGGTTCATTCCCCTTCTCTCCCAGTAGCTGCAGAAGCTCCCAAGGAATTCACCAAATAGGGACAAGGAATTGAAATTAGAATTAGTAGCATTTGTGTCTTTAACTGAAATTAAAAAACATGTTTGTACATATTTTCTGTTAAGGCTTGGAAACTTTAATTTTGTCACAAAAATAAGCAATTTTCAACATGCCCAGGGAAGGAACTCCGCTATATAAGAAAGGGTCATGTTGATATAGCTATTTTTCAGGCAACAGCTGCCCTTTACATCATGAGATAGGTAATGTACTAGGCTCCATTCTTCATTGTATACCAGCACAGAAAGTAGATTTTGTGCTGGTTGCACAAAAATTAGGAGCCCAGGAGTTCCTAATGCATCTTGTGTACTAGTGGAGGACTAAAGCAACTTCAAGTTCAGGGCGATCTATATGCTGCAAGGCCAGAACAGGCATGATGTCGACTTGACCCAAATATTTTCCATTCATGTCCCTGGCTTTCCATTCATTAGCCTGACAGGATATTGGGTCAAAACCATCTATCCAATGCTTAGGAAGAAATGAGCTACACCTCCAGGTAGCTTGACCCATCCTCCTGTTCATCCAGACCAGATGAGTAAGAGGCTGGGTCTGTGTCAAGTCACTAAATATGGTCAGCATCTTCCCCTCCAGACACATTCACTTGGTGACATTAGCAAATGTGGACCCAACAATGAGTCCTGTCCACACTTAACTGACAACACCGGTACTGACACCTATGCCCAGAAATATTTCCGACTGACACCATTTGAACAGTTGTGGGTACTGATATGGAGATGTGCTCTTGTGGTCGGTGTACTGAAAAGGTAAGCAGAACTATGTCTGCATATGAAGTAGTCCATATGAAGTAGCTCACATTACAATAGAGTTTAGCAAATACAGGTAAAAAGCTTTAGATATCCAAAAAAGAGTGTTACCCAGCAGCTTTCTAAGGAGATATGAGATACTTGTGTGATTGGTAGCTGAAGTAATGCCCTATAAAATGATAGTATCCTTTTTTAAAATTATTTTTCTTTAGATTAAAGATAATATCTTGGAAGAAAAGCAGAGGAGTCTCAATTTTGAAGAAACGAAAGACTGGGGATCAAAAAATAGCATTAAAATGAACTCTCCTACAGTAAGCAAGTTGCCAAATTCAGTTGCTAATTTACCTCTTAGGTTTGGAAGAAATTATCCAGAAGAAAGAAGCATTAAACCAATTGCTAATTTGCCTCTGAGATTTGGGAGAGCTTTTGGAGACACCATACCTAGGCATGCTCCAAAGGTATCACACAGGCTTGGGAGATCTCCACATGTTAAAAGTTCCAGTCAATCACTTCTAAATTTGCCACAGAGATTTGGGAGATCACTGCTTGTCAATCTGTCTCAAGATGTTCTCAAGGAATCTCAACCAGGTAATACTACACAAGTGTTCAAGCCATATATTAAAATGCATATTAAATCATAAGTTAGCGATGATCAAATACAACCAGGATTCCTCAAGGGATATTGCCCAAACATTTCAATATGAGTCTAATCTGCCAAAAGAGATTTTCAGTTCATCAAATCAAAAAGTCTCATCACAAGAACCAGCAGAGAATCTCTTTATGAAATCTTTTCTAATGAGAAGATGCTAAATAGCAAAAGCTGAAAATGTTCATATGACAAGATTAGGTTTGACAACTCTTTTTTAGATCAGGTATCATTTTGAAAAGTTTAAAGCTTTGGTGAAAAAGGTTCAGCATCATTAAAATACTCCATTTCAGCACTATAAAATGACCAAACAAAATTACCTAAAAATTACTCTTCCATTTTCTAAATTTATGCAAGTTAGAGTTAAAAAAAGACAAAATTCCAAGCTGAATTGAGCATTTTGAAAATGCTGTGTTTTTTTCTCATCTGAATCTATTTTTTTTCAGATAGTCTTACTGAGACAATGTTTGAGATTTTGATTTTTTATTCCAAGTTAAGATCAAAATTTTTTTTTGACATGTCAGAAATTTTTTCAGGATAGGAAAATATTTCCTGCCTATTACTAAGAATAATTTAAACCATCTCTTCAATAACAGTCCTTCTTATCATATCTGCTACTTTATCTGAACTGTCCATTTGTCTTGGAACCAAGTTTCAGTTGGCTACCCCTGAACTGCATCTGACACATACGTAAAGTAGAAGTTCAGGCCAGGAAAGATAATGGATGTATCAGAAGCCAAGATTCTTTCTTATTTAATTTGATTATTTTCATTCCTTTCACCCTGTCTCATATGATTATAACAGATTTTGTTTTATTTGTCTGATGTTTTTAGGGATATGAATTCTAACAGTTACGTTAATACTGGAATGAAATAATGAAGACAGAAAATAAGAACTTGGAAAAGCTGCAATGCATTTTCAGTACTAAAGGTCATGAAAAGGAAACACATGAGAACTGAAATGCAAACCTGTCTTCATGTTATGAATAATATATTTATTATGTATAAACCCTTGATGTATAAGGCAATGATAATTGTAGTGATTGTTGTAGTAGTTTACTTCAGTGGCAATGTAGTATAAATTCTATTTACTTCTGTGTGACTTATGTCCTGTTGGTTGAAAAACCCAGTTTCAGAACAATGGCTGTAATTGAAAGCAGTTTAAGCAAAATTAAAAGCAGCATAGTATGAATAAAGAAGCATGGTACAAATAAAAAGAAGCCTACAATGTGAATAACAAACAGAAGCAGCATCAAAACTACCGGTACCTTTTGTGTCATATGCAGCTAAATAAAATAAAGTAAAACTTAGAGAAAGCACTTTTCCTGTTGTTTATGAGTCATGTTAGACATAAATCTGAAAGGCAACTTGTCAAGAATTTGCCACAAATAAAACCTAGCTTCTTGGATCCCCACAGAGGAATAACATCTAACCAAAGTCACACTGTAATGTAATTATCTTGGGTTTTATATATGAGATAATGCCCTCCCTAATGTCCTACAAGATCTGCCCAGTGGGTGTCCCAGTTTCTCCGTTAATGTGAATGACATTACAGATACCAGAAACACACGCAGAAGGGGCTACTCCATTATAAGCCCCTATTTCCATTTCATATTTCTTATGAAACCCATACACTTCTAAGTGGAATATTGGGTATTTAGGCTTCCTCCAAAACTGAGTTTTCAGCCAGCTTTAAAGAGAACCTGGATTGGCACCTGTTACAGGGAAGCCAAATCTGGTGGACTACAGGATCTAAGGGATTCTTTCTTCTGGTCCTCAGATGCTGTATTACCTTGACACCAGGTCTGGCCAATGGTGGGGCTAGGCACCCCCCAAAAAACACACCACACGTACATACACACACTATGCAGCCACAGCTGACTACCAACAGACAACAGAGCAACACCTTTGTAGTCTCCACATACACATCAACAAGACTCACACAAACATACAAATGGTCTGATCCTCTTCTCATTCACAGGCTAACCAGACTGAAAGTTTTTGAGCCTATCTCCCACCCAAGCACATGCAAACAGGTCTCTCCTGTAGCTGTTCCAGACCAGTGGTCTCTCCAGCAGTGGGCGCTCAGACCCATTGTCCCTCCACTGTTCCAACCTATGGTCTCTCTGGTAGCTGACTCCCATACATTTTCTCCACCTCACCAGTTAGTCCAGCTTTAAATTCACATTAGAATCTCATACACAGAGGGGTATCTTCAGCAGCAGCTGTTAGGTGCCCAGTCAGTTCAAAAGCTGGTATCCAGACTATCAGTCTCTCCAGTTGCTAGCTCTCAGATCTGCAGGTCCCTTAGACCCTCAGTCTCTATCTCCAGTTGCTGGCACTCAGACCACACACTCTACTTGCCAGCTCTCCTGGCTTGAAATTTGCTAGCAGACCATACACATATATGCACTCAGAATAGAAAGCACACTCACATAGGAAAACATTCAATTGTTGACTTTTAAAAAGGTAAGACACACTGTGATCACAGAATCACAGAATCATTAAGATTGGAAAAGACCTTTAAGATCATCAAGTCCAACCATCAACCCAACACCACCATGCCCGCTAAACCATGTCCCGAAGTGCCACGTCCACACGTTTTTTGAACACTTCCACTGATGGTGACTCCATCACCCCCCTGGCCAGCCAGTTCCAATGCTTGACCATTCTCTCCATAAAGAAATTTTTCCTAATATCTAATCTAAACCTCCCCTGGTGCAACTTGAGGCCATTTCCTCTCGTCCTATCGCTAGTTACTTGGGAGAAGAGACCAACACCTGCCCTTGCCACAACTCACTTTCAGGTAGTTATAGAGAGCAATAAGGTCTCCCCTCAGCCTCCTCTTCTCCGGACTGAACAACCCCAGATCCCTCAGCCACTCCTCAGAAGACTTGTACTGAACACAGTATTCGAGGTGTGGCCTTGCCAGTGACAAGTATAGCGGCACAATCACTTCACTACTCCTGCTGG